GTCAGCCCCATCCGCACCCTGTGGATGGGGTTCCCTGCAGGCAAGCCGAGAACCGTTATCAGAAGGAGCCAGCCTAGAACGAGAGAGGGGCACTCTAGAATAAAGGGCGTGGAGCAAAGTAACTCAGAGTGTCAACACTGACGACTGAAGGCAGAGGTCTGCTCGGCATACGTTTTGCTTCTGTGTCAAGGAAAGGAGGGCCAGAGCTGTTAAGAAGGAACTGGGGTTCAGGCCAGGTGGGAGGTGATAATCTGCTTTAAATGGATTTGCCTTCTGGCCCCTGGGCTTTCCTGTCCTGGTGCTGAGTGGACTTGGAGGTGAGGTCTCGGAGAAGCTATTGGGAATATTTCGGGACGACTAGGGCAGACAGAAGATGGCATGGAGGTGTGGGTCGCAGCACGCCACAGCCTCCCCCGTGTACAGAATCACCCCAGGCTCCCTGACCCACCCCTGACAGCCTCCCTGCCTCAGCTCCTGACAGCCTCTCCTAGGCGTCCCCGTCTTCCCAGAGTGTGCTGTGGGGGCTCGCTCCCTGGGACGTGGCTGGTGCTGCCGCCTGAGCCAGAGAGCTGGACTGTCTCCTGCGCTGTGACGTCCTCACTGAGCCTCCCCACTCCTCCAGTGAATTGCTCCACTCCCATAATTCCTGCTGTAAGCCTGCATCGTGTTTGTTGCATGGATGGATAAATGAATGCTGGAAGACTGAAGATGGCGAAGAAGGTAGATTATGGGAAGCACGGACTGGTAACCGTGTCCTTCATCCCTGACAAAGCCCTGGAACCAATGATCAGTTGAGCCCTTGAGGAAGAGCCCACCCTCGTCCAAAGAGCCCTCTGTCTGGTTCTTCTCCACTCGACTGGTTCCCCACCAGACGCAGTGACACTTGGGGATGAGACAGACGGGCAGCGGGGGGGCAGCACAGGTAGGAAGACCTGTGCCCTCAGAGCCCTGAATAGCGGGCAGAGGCTGACCCGGGGCAGACCCTAGTGCCGCAGGTTTTTCCCATTCCTGTCCTCTCCCCGAGGACCTTGATGAAACAAAGCAAGCAGAGGAGGGCAACCTTTTCAGATGACACCCATTTGTTCTATTCTTCATCCACCAAAAAATTATTGAGCACTTTCTACGCACCAGGAACCATCAAAACAGCACTTCAAAAGATCACGGCGTGGTTACGTAACACCGGACTTGATGCCAGTGAATTACACACTTAAAAATGGTTAAAATGGTAAACTTCATGCTACGTGCATTTGGCCACAGGTGGAAAAAAAAAGATCATAGCAGTTGGAGTGATGGACTTAGCTTACCAGGGAGAATGTAATTGTAACAAATGAAGCATCCTGTAAAGCCCCTCCCCTTCCCAGATCTTTCAGGAGAGGATGGCAGAGATGTGGGTCTGCAGCAATGGGAGCAAATGACTTCTGGTCGCTGGCCACAGACTGGACAGTCTATTATTTTGGGTTGTCTTGGTGAACAGTGTGGCATGGCTGCCCAGGATGCCCTCCACCAGGGGGAGAGAGAGCTACCTGCAGGGCGGGTATACGGGAGAGGGCACCTTGTTCTGTGTGGTCCACGGGGTCGAACGAGGATTGATAATGGGCTGGCAGGTTTCGTCTCCAAAAAAGGTAGAGCCTTCCACTGATGAGAGCTGCTTCTCTGGGAGGTAGTGGGTGCCTCTGCCTAGAGGGGGCACACAGAGGTTGTGGGAGTGGCTCCCGTTTGGCTACCTGACCGTTAACTTCTGCGGTTTGTCCAGAACTTGCTGGGGGAAGGGAGGGCTTTCCTCATTCTATGATCTACCTCAGTGATCCCAACTTTGGCCTCCAGGGGTAGCTCCCCCATCCCGTCTGGGCTCCGGCCCTGTGTGCCCGGGGGTCCGTAGGCATTTTGGCATGGATGATTTGGAACCGTCTCCCACCCTCTGTGTGTGCCCCTGTGCACCCACTGGTTGAAGCCTTCAGCACATCCTTGGCCCTTTTCGCTTCTCCTGCCCATACAAACAACCCCAAGCCTGGTCACGGCGCCCCTTGAAGCTTCTCCTAAGCTGGGCCCAGGTGTCACTAAGCGTCTCTGGTGAGACAGTGTTCAGTTCATGCGCTGAAACACCTTTTGCTGCTCTGAACAGTAGCAATTTTCATGGGGTGGGAAGAGAGGGAAGAGAAGGCAGGAAAGGAAGGGACGGATGGGCCCCGAAATTAGCCACTTCAGACGCTGCAAGAAAGACCCAAAATAACAGTGACGCTAGAATAGATGCCTGTTCTCACCCATGTGACAGTCCAAGGATGTCCAAGGCTGATGCTGAACCCCTCAGGGGCCTTCTGTCCTGGGTTCTGCAGTCCCCGGGGTATTGCCTTTGGCAGCATGGCCCTCGAGGGCTCACCGCATCAGCATTCCAGCCAGTGGGAAGAGGAGAAGAGAAAGGGTGTGCGCCTTCTCTTTAAAGACACTACCCAGACTTGGTACACGTCAGTTCCTCCCACATCCTATTAGCCAGAAAGTGGTCACATGGCCACACCCTGCTGCAAGGCAGGCTGGGATCTGTAGTCTTTAGCCTAGTGGCCGTGTGCCTAAGGAAATGTTCTACAGGAGGAGGACAGGTGTAAGGGGAACACTAGTGGTTCCTGCCACAGCCCTTCTGTGCGCTTCAGTGTGGCCTGCGTGGCAGTTAGCCGGCTGGGCCTTAGGGGTGTGGTCCATGAAGTTCCACCAGCATCTGGTGAAACACTTCTTTTATAGACGGGAACGTCGAGCTCAGAGAGGGGGCGTCACCTGGTAAGACTGCACAGCAAAGTTTCAGAACTGGGGCTGGAACCCAAACTCTGGGCTCACTTTTGACTGTTCCAAAGAGATCTGGCCACAGGGCAGACAAGCAGTGCCAGGAGGACAGTCTCTTGGGGCTGGGGAGAGGCCACCGTTCCCAGCCTGTCCACCTGGGGAGCTGCTCGTCATTTGTCAGGACTCACCTTAAGGGTTATCCTGTCCCTGAGGTGCCTCCAAATAGCCCTCACCGTTACCTTACATAGTGCGCTGTACTGAACTGGGGTGCTTCCTGTGCACTCCCTCCTGGGAATGCCGGCTCCCTGGGGTGCTTACCAGGCGCTCAGTGAACGGTTAAGTGCATATCTAAATACGTGAATGAATGTATATTCAAGGGCTCCTTCAGTTGCAGGTAATAGAAACTTAGCTCAGACTGGCTTGAGGGGAAAAAAATGATTGGCTCAAGTATCTGGGCAGTCTAGGTGTGCGGCTTGCTTCAGGCATAGCTTGATCCAGGGGCTTAGCTGCTGTTTTCGGAAGCTGTGCTTCTAGCCTACGCTGGTTAGCAAAGACTGACATTGGTTATGTGGCTTGACCCTTCTTGCCCTCTTTGTGGGAAGTGTTGTCAAACAGTCCCTGCAGGGACTGGGAAGAGGCAGGGGGTTAGGAGAACATGGGGTGCTCCTGGTGGTCATGGTAGGGGTGAGGCGTTCCTCTTGGACATCCCCAGTCCAGGGCATCTTGGTATGGAGCCGGGTCTCCGCCCTTGATTTGTGGTTTGGGCTTCATGCGGCCGCATCTTGTGTCATCTATTGGGGGTTTCCCGGGGCTCCGTATCTGCTGGGGTTGGATGCACTTGCTGTGCCCTGAGGCCAAGGGTGGCCTGGGCCCCTCACTCCTGCTTCTCTGGGAAAGCCAGGGCACCCTGTGGTCTTTCCGGGCAGGGGTCCTTGGAGTTCCCACATTTGGCTGGGACTGGGGCAGGGGGAAGGAGGAGGGAGGACCGACTGGTGACTGACTGGGAGGGATGGCACATGCTGGCCCCAGGGCAGGTCCTGCCTGGGGATGAGAATTCCCCTTTGTAGAAAAGATGGGCTGGGCACTGCGAATGTGGCAAGAGGTCTGTGCATCTCCAGGAGGCTCTGTGTACCGGACGGCCCAACTGTCCCGATGGTCACAGGCCACGCTCTCATTCCCCGCCAGCATCCTGTCTCTGAGGTGTGTTGCTCCCTCCTGCCCTCAGCCCTGGGGGCCCAGCTGTTGGGGTGGGAGTCTCTCTGTGTCTTTGAATCTGGGCTGTTGGGCTTCTCCCCAGGGTAAGCATGAGGGTGGGAACTTCCCCGGGTCCAGAGTCTAGAAAGGGAATTGAAGGGAGCAAATCCAATGCTCACCCCTGGGAGCCCTCAACCTCCCTCTGGAGAGCAGGACAGCTCGGCCCCTGGGGAACCTGATAGGTCTGGCCAGGAGAGAGCTGCTCCCTGACCTCGCAGTCATGGAGGTGGCAGGCAGGCCCAAGAGATCCTGGCGAGTGAAACCTAGTGGCAGGAATTAGCTTGATGGGCGGAGAAGACAGTCCTAAGGAAGGCCTTGCATGCCAGGCAGGGGAATGAGGGTTTACTCAGGGCGTAAAAGGGGAACCACGAGAGATTCTTGCAGGGGGAGGGGTGTGAGCAGATTCCTGCCTCGGGTCCTGAGAGGAGACACAGTGGTGGGGGGGTGGAGTTGGCGGGAGCAGAGTGGAGGGTCATGGGGCGGGGGGATCAGAGGGGGCTGGCCGCACAGTTCAGGGTGGGAGGTGGTGGGCATAGGCCACAGTGGGACAGGTGAGGGGGGCCCAGGAGGAACAGACAGGCCCTGGTTCTGTCTCGGGGTGAAGCAAAGGCAGGAGACTTGGAATCTGGGAGCTTCTTAAAGCTTAGTCTCTGCGCTTCCCTCAGGGGGTGGCAGGCCCGGCAGGCCGCTGCCTGCCGGCATTTCCTCTGGGCCGCGGTGGCCCCTGTGGGCAGGATGTAGTGCCCGCCAGGCGCGACTTTATGAATGGAGCCCGAAGGCTGCTGACTCAGCAGGCGGCAAGGCTGTGAGGCCGCCAGGTTTGGAGCGGAAGTGTCTGGGAAGGAAGTGGCTGCTCGGGGCTTCCCTGCGCGGACAGCTGGGAGGAGGGCAGGATGCACCGGCGGCTGGGGGACTCCCTCGGCTCAGCTGCTGGTGGTGGGGGGTGTTGGAGGAAGAGGGTGCTCGCCGGGATGGGGAGGGCTGAAGCTGGGTGCTTGTGACTGGAATTGATGCTAATGGCTGTTTGCTCCCTGGAAGGGCAGAGGTGTGGCAGGAGGTGGGGAACACTGAACCCTTCTCACCTGTGCGGGCTGGCGAATCACATCACATTAACCAAGTCACCTCACTTATCTGGGCTTTAATTTTTTCCTCTTGCAAAATGAGACAAAATCAGGCAGCTTAGCTCCCTGGGTGGTTCAGAGAATGTGAAACCCTTTATATTTTTGTCAAATCGTGTTGGGTAGCAAAAATCGACCCTGGTGGCAGGATGTGGCAGGAAAACTTAGTCAGCAGGAAGGGCAAAGGCAGGCAGCTTGGTGGGAGGTTGGAGAGGGGAACCAGGACGGGCTGCAGGGCCGGACCCCCGGAGGTCGCCCCCCCAAGCTCAGATCCAACCTGTAGTTGCAGAAAAATACCTCTCACTCCGTCCTGACTCCAGCCTGGGGGGTCAGCCCCAGTCCAGGCCTCTGCCATGTCCGGCCAGTCTTGGCCACTCCGTATATGTGAGCTAAGCTAGCCTGTGTCCTCTGTCTTGAGCCCCAGACTCATACACCAGGCTGTCTCCTGGAACTCTCCCTGCAAGTGCCTGCGCTAACACTAACTTCACACACCCTGCACTGAGCCCTTCCGTGTTCTCTCTCTGTGAGCGCTCCACCCACCCGGTCACTTGGCTCAGAACCATGGGCACCGGGACTGTCCCCCCCCCCGTGCCCGCCAGTGCTGTCACTTCCCCCAGACCTGCTTGGTCTCTTCCATCCAGCTCTTCTCATTTATCCTGCAGGTTTTGTCAGAGTAATCTCTATGAAGCACAGCTCTGACCTCATCCTTCCTCTATTCCAGAAACTTCAGTGGCTCCCAGCTGCCTTAGGATAAACTTCCAACCTCTTGCCAATCTTTAAGTCTTACTCTCCCCTGCCAGCTGTTGTCTCAAGCCAAACTGATCTCTGCACATCCTTGCCCTGCCTTGCTGCCTTGCCTCGACTTCCTTGTGTTTACATGCCAGCATCTTATTTCTGAATGGGTGGGTCCCAGCTGCCCCCTGACCCGCCTTCCCTGGTGCAGCCTCCCTAGTGACTCAACTCGCTCCTGCCTGCATCTCAGGATATCCCTCAGCAGGGAGCTTTGTGGGGTGTGGGGGGGAGTACCTCCCAGCCGGCAGCTGCAGCCTTGCCCCAGGCTGGCCCGGGTCGGGGATGAGGTGAGAGAGGGCCTGGGGAGGACCTTTTGAGACAAAAGCCTCACTTCCTCTTCCTCGCAGGTGGGGGCAGCCTTCCATCACTGAGAGCCCAGCTGTCAGCTGCCTCGCGGGAAGATGCCGCATCTGCCTGGCAGCGTGGGCATGCGTGTGGCCACCGCCCTGGGAGCCCTCTGGTTCTGCCTCACAGGTGAGGGGAGCAGAGTGGGGCCTGGAGGTGGGGGAAGAGGTGCCCACTCCCATCAGGGCTCCTGCCAACCCTCTCTGTCCAGCAGGGCTGGGAGGCTGTGGCTAACATCCTCCCGTCTCCCCTGTGCCTTGTCCACACTCATCCCTACCTCCAGGATCCAAGAGGCAACTTTCTTTATATTTCTTGGTCTCCATTTCCTCTTCTGTAAAATGGCAGTGTGAGCACTAAATGCCATAATGCTGTTTCTTGAACACACTATATGTGTGCTTCCTCCCCAGGGCCTTTGCACGTACTGTTCCCTCAGTCTGAAACTTTCTGCCCCCACACGTGTATATGACTTGATCCCTTACTTCATTCAAGTCTTTGCTCAAATGTCACCTTCCGCAGGCTCTCCCTTCCCCCAGCTACCTTGCATGAAAGAGCACATCACCCCTCCCTCTCCCAGAGCTTACTCCATGCCACCTCCCCGCATTTATCCCCACTTGACAGAGCATATGTTTACTTGCTTATTGCTTGCTCTGCTGAAAGAGTCGGGTTTCTCTGCAGGGCCAGGATTGATGCCAGGCACATAGCAGGTGCTCTAACCATGGGGAATAGAGGATGTAAATCTTCCCACACAGTTCTTGGCGCAGAGTTGGCATTCAGTAATGGCAGCTACTTTAACAACATCGTCATATTTCAAATCCTAATCAGTTTCTGGGCTGAGGGAGATTGCCTTCTTCCTCCATTGGGAAGACAAAGCTGGGTTTCTGGTGCCATCTGGTGGTCATAAAGAGGAAGCACCGCTTCACCCAGAGCTACTTTGATTTCTGTGCAGAAAGGGTTTTGTCTGGGTGATTCCTCAGGTTTCGTCCCTTAAATGCCCCATACAATGTGGCACCCTGTTGGTTTCCAACTGGAGAGCTGGCTGGGGCACCTGGCATTGCAGCAAGAGCCCCAGGGCCAACTTAAGACGTTTAGAGAGCTCTTCACACTGCAAAGATGATGACACCCCCTCCCTGGGTTACGTCACAATGAAAATTCCAACTGTAAAATGCTGTTTTTCTAAATGTGAGAAACCTTTCATGAGTGCTGTATTCAGTTCCTCTGTTTCAAGACTGTTCTTCACACTTTTTGAGTGCCTGCTTTGCTGGTGCCCAAATCACACACTGAATCTAACCATACTCAAAAATGGTGGTGCCAGGTTAGGGGGCACACTCTACTGAAAGAAGGGCTATCCAGGCCTCCTGCCTAACTTTCCAGGGCTCTCAAAGAAGAGCTGGTCTGGAGGCAGAGGTGACTGGGAGGGAGGCTGCAGGGCAAATCCACAGGGTAGAGGGCAGGGCCAAAAGCAGGGGGACCTGCCCCAGGGGGCTTTCTCTGGCTATGTCAGACTCTACTTCATTCCCTTTAAATCTCAGCTTAATATCTCTTTATGGAGAAAGTGGCTCATCACCACATTTAAATGCATAGGTATTCTTTCTTTCTTGTATAAAACTAATCATGTTTGTTTAGAAAAAGAAGAAAGAAAAAGCACTTGTGATTCTTCCTTATCCAGAGAAAAACCACTATTAACATTCTGGTGTATACTTTTTTAGACTCCCTTTTTACAACTTATCAAGATAATATATACTTATGGGGAAATGCAACTAGCATGACAGTTGTAAAATACCTATCAGATTTGTGAAAAGCTCCCTCCTAATTTTTTAAAAAATATTTTTAAATTGAAGTATAGTCAGTTTACAATGTTGTGTCAATTTCTGGTGTACAGCACAATGCTTCAGTCATACATAAATATACATATATTCAGTTTCATATTCTGTAAGAAATGAAAATGGAGAGATTACAACTAACACCACAGAAATAGAAAAAATCATAAGAGAATACTGTGAACAACTATATGGCAATAAGTTGGACAACTTAGAAGAAACAGACAGGTTTCTAGAAACATACAGTCCACCAAGACGGAATCAAGAAGAAGTAGATCACTTGAAGTGAAATAGAATCAGCAATAAAAAACCTCCCTGCAAACAGAAGTCCAGGGCCAAATGGCTTCACTGGGGAATTCTATCAAACATACAAAGAAGAGCTCATACCAGTCCTTCACAAACTCTTCCAAAAGACCGCAGAGGAGGGAATACTCCCAAACTCACTCTATGAAGCCACCAACACCCTGACACCAAAGCCAGACAGACACCACCAAAAAAGAAAGCTACAGGCCAATATCACTGATGAACATAGATGCAAAAATCCTCAACAAAATATTAGCAAACAGAATCCAACAACACGTGAAAAAGATCATACATCATGATCAAGTGGGGTTCATCCCAGGGACACAAGGATGATTCAACACATGCAAATCGATCAACGTGATACACCACATCAACAAGAGAAAGGACAGAAACCACATGATCTACTCAACAGAGGCAGGAAAAGCATTGATAAAATTCAACACCCATTTATGATAAAAACTCTCACCAAAGTGGGTACGGAGCAAACATAGCAAAAGGTATTTATGACAAGCCCACAGCCAGCGTAATCCTCAACGGCGACAAGCAGAAAGGCTTTCCTCATTTTCTATCCATTAACTTGCTTTCGTCCTTCGTACCCCTAAGCACATGCGAATGAGGATCCGTGTGCTAGTCTGTCCCTCTCCCACTAACATGTAAGCTCTGCAGGGGTGTGACCGTGGTGGTGTTCTCTGTGGCCTTCCTAACCCTTACACTTGGCATAGTAGGTGCTTACTATGCTGGTGTTGATTGAACCACGACCACAGGTAATAAACTCAGCCGTAAACAAGGGGTGGACAAGGCCTGAAGTTAACACGGAAGGGGAGGGGGACTAGGGAGGCTGGGAGTGTCCTGGCCCCTCCTCACCGTCCCACCCCACTGGCCCCACCCCCAGGCGCTGTGGAAGTCCAGGTTCCCGAAGACCCCGTGGTGGCCCTGGTGGGCACCGACGCCACCCTTCGCTGCTCCTTCTCACCCGAACCCGGCTTCAGCCTGGCACAGCTCAACCTCACC